TTACAAAAAACATCTTAAAGTCTCAAGGGAGATCTAACAATTATAGCTACTTACACAGAAGTTATAAAATGGGTAGCTGTCAGTCATCAGCATCATGCAGGGAGGGAAAAATATAATAGCAAAAGGAGTGTTGAGGTGAAATATCTGAGGAAGTCAGTTTCATAACTTAAGGGGAATCCAGGTTGCAGGATGAGCTGTGAAGGGGAATTTTTTGCATGAATATTACCATTTTGAAACTATGCGAAGAAAGGGTCATACAAGCATTATTTTAAGTTGCTTTTTTTCTACCTAAATTCTCAGAGATTTTGGTGACAACCACAAAACAGCTAGGGAAGAGGAGTGCCTGAATCTCCTGCCTCTCTGAGGCCATTATCAGAGGCCATGTGTCAGGAACCTGATAATCTGTTGTACAAATCCTTTGCAAAATTGAGCTGATATAGATGAGCTCTGATACAGATGAGCTCCTCTTTCTTAAGAAAGTACTGTTAAAGACTGGAATATTAAATTTGTTGTGATACAGTCATCACACTTCTCTGCTTCTGGAGTTTTCAATATGAGTAAATAACTACATATTCATTGTAGGAAGCCCTGGAAATCAGCTGTCCTCTAATATCCAAACTATGAAGCTGTTTTTCTTAGGCCTAAATTGATTTCTCTTGCATTGAGTCAGAGAGCCAAAAAATTAATTAATTCTGTCCTCTAATCAAGACTAATTTGTGGATTACTGAAATCAGATTTGATGCAGCACTCAAAAGTTTGCAAGATTATTCACTGGAAAATAAACCCTCTAGCCCTAATTAATTGCCAAACTACAAGATGGCATAGTTTCCAGGCATGTGAAGAGTAGAGTTTTTCACTCAGATCTGCTTCTAAACCTTACCATGTTGTTGGCTTTTAGCAAATAAATTGATGTACGTAATCATGAATAGCATAAGCTAATTGTGAATAGCATAAGTGCCATGTAATACTAGTTGAGTTCATAAGTATTTGCTGTACTTCTAGTGTTTCTGAGGATGTTAAATGTATGCTTAAATACAAATGCAAGGGGTAAAAAAAATAGAATTTAATATTTTTCTGTTGTACCTGTGGCCCTGACCAACACTGAAATTCAGGAGAATAGTGGATATTACATTCGGGGCTTAACAAATTGTCAAGTAGTTAAAAGAACGTGTTAACTGCCCATTCTTTGAAAATCTTCAACTCAGCCTCAAGGTGACCTCTAGATTTACAAGCTGAAGGAAACAGTTTAGTAACTAGGACCAACAAATTACCAAAATCTCATCCAAGAAGAATGACAAGAGCCACATTTCCTAAAACAAACTAACTAGTAGATTTTTCACCACAATGCCTCTGCGTTTGAGCTCGTCATTATTCTAATCACATATCCTACAGACACTTTTGCTAACTTAGATATAGCCCCAGTTTTGACTTACAGCAAATTAATTCTAAACAAATCAAATGTTAGCTGTTGAATTTTATGGAAAGTTTGGGATTAAAACATTTTATTGTTCTTTGTTTAGCTGGAAAAGATATAGGAGCTTCTCTCATCATCGCATTGCATATATTCAAATATTGGCTGCTAGAAAGGACAAGCAGTAACTAAGTAATAACATTTTTCTGCTTGAATTGGTGCCTGTATAGAACATATTTCACTGTTCAGTAACCTGTTGAACTAAGCAAGAAGGGAAAGGGAAAGACTGATTTCCATATTATCTGCACGTGTTTGGCACACAGGCCGTTGGAACAATTGCATAATTAAGTTTTATTTTTAAGTTTTGTGATGTTTAATCATGGAATCACAGAATGGTAGCGGTTGGAAGGGACCTTTGGAGTTCATCTAGTCCAAACCTCTGCTAAAGCAGGTTCACCTACAGCAGGTCACGCAGGATCACATCCAGGCAGGTTTTGAATATCTTCAGAGGAGGAGACTCCACAGCCTCCCTGGGCAGCCTGTTCCAGTGCTCTGACACCCTCAGAGTAAAGAAGTTTTCCCTCATGTTCAGATGGAACTTCCTGTGCTTCAATTTGTGCCTGTTGCTGCTTGTCCTGTCTCTGGGCACCACTGAAAAGAGCCTGGCCCCATCCTCTTGACACTCGCCCTTTAGATATATATAAAGAGTTGGTAAGGTTCCCTCTCAGTCTTCTCTTCTCCAGGCTAAACAGACGCAGATCTCTTGGCCTTCCCTCAAAAGAAGGGTGTTCCAACCCACTAATCATCTTCGTAGCCCTCCACTGGATGCTCTCCAGTAGTTCCCTATCTCTGGAATTGGGGAGCCCAGAACTGGACACAGTACTCCAGATACGGCCTTGCCAGGGCGGAGTAAAGGAGGAGGAGAACCTCCCTCAACCTGCTGGCCGCACTCTTCTTAATGCACCCCAGGATGCCTTTGGCCTTTCTGGCCACAAGAGCACAGTGCTGGCTCATGGTCAAATTGTTGTCTTCCAGAACTCCCATGTCCTTCTCCGTAGAGCTGCTCTCGAGGAAGTCAACCCCTAACATGTACCAGTGCATGGGGTAGTTCCTCCCCCAGTGCAGGACCCTACAGCTGCCCGTATTGAACCTCATTATGTTCCTCTCTGCCCAGCTTTCCAGTCTGTCCAAGTCTTGCTGAAAGGCAGCACAGCCTTCTGGTGTGTCAGCCCCTCCTCCCAGCTTTGTATCAGAAGATAGGATGATATGAAAGGGATTAATTTTTATAATGTGCAGTCTTCCTTCAAATACGTTTTATGCTACATAACCGTGTGAATATTAAAGTAACAACTTCATATTCCTAATAGGTTGTCTAGAACGAATAAATAAATAAATAATCTTTGCAAAATAGGCTAATTTGGGGCTACCACGATAATTTATTTATAATGTATTCCCTCTTTCCCCATAAAGGCCCTCTCAGCATTATACAAACAATTATAAACCATATTAAAACCATCACCAAATATGTACCATAAGAGACAAACAAAATAATAAAATGAGACCTGAGCCACATTCTTAAAAGGGGGTTGAAAATGCTACAGGTGGCAGCTAATTGCAGCACAGAAAGCCGGGCCTTTCAAGTAAGTCCAACTGTTAGCCATTTTTTCCAAAATATCCACATTTTTATTTGACAGCCTGTGGTTAATTCGATGATCAAAGTGTACTTATTGTTTTGCTTCAGCTTGTTTTATTGAACTTAAAAGCTCAAGTTTAGAGATGCAGGTGCCATTATACTTCTGAGCACTTACGTTTACAATTTCTTCCCTTTCTCTCTTCGTAGCAATGAGCAGTCATTGCTACAAATGTAGTAGTCTCCATTGTTCACTTCTGATTTATTTTTCTAGTAGGTATATTGCTGTCAAAAGGTGTTGGATGGGAAGCTGGGAAGAGAGCAGCCTGTTTTTGTGTTGAGCTCATAAAGCAATAATACTGGTGGCCCCATGCCACCTTCTGCCATACATGATGGCTCTGATTTCAAAGGACTTTCTCCAGAGTGAATTGACAGGATAATCTGTGTCCCTTAGTCATTGTTTTTATGTATTCCTAGACTGCCAAATCAGAGATTTTCAAAAGAGCCTAATAGCTGTACCAGTTCAGAGGGGAGGGATTCACTGCATTTTGTGGGGCAGGCATTTGCCCTCAGAGAACTGGATCAAAGCCCAGCAGCTCTTTCAAACAGTATCTAATTGACTGTGGTGCTGTTTGAAGACATTTTTGCTCCTTTGGCAGAGATGACTGCTCTTGTGTCTCTGGTGAGAGAAAGGGCTGTATGAACATTTCTAGTTTGCTTCAGGAGAAGACGGAAAAGATTTCTTGGGATGGCAATGGACAAGCTTCAAGTACTGACAGGTAGTTAAGGGTGACACCACCTAGCAGACACACACAGAAGAGCACATCTATTCCTCTCCTTGTGAAAATGGGACAGTAGCAGAACAGCTAACTATGAACCAATCTAGGCGACTTCTGTGTACATGAAATTCTCCATGTAGCATGATTAATGTCACAAATGCAACACATGAAAAGATGGAAATTAGTTTTGTATTTTATTTTTTCAAAATAAGTCCTGAGATTATTTTTCAGCTTTCAAATATTGAAAGAAACACTGTATACCTTTTGTCTTTATCTCTGAAAAGAGAGAAAATGTTCTGTTAAGAGTAAGTTTTCATCAGTCAGGTTACATCAAAATTTCATTCTCTTTCTTTTTTAACAAAAAGTGTTTTGACCAGCTATATTATCCACCGTTCTTTCCCTTTTTTATCGTTACTGCTACAGCATGGTTTCCTCTTTTATAATTTTTTACAGTTAGAGCTCCATCACAAAATCTATATTAGGCTACAGTCACTCTGGTTTCAACCAGAATTTGTTGAGAATACAGCTTATGCTGAATACTTAAACATTTTCCCATCAGAAATGGATGTTTCATTGACTTGGAGCCTTTCTGGGGAAAGTTGTTGATTTTTTATTAAATTTTCCTTTGGAAAAACTAAGAAGAAAAAAAGAATGTTTTCCATTCCAAAATTACTTCTGTTTAAAAAATATTTTTATTGTGTTAAGATACAAACCAGAAGAGCTGACATTGGAATAAATTGTCTGATATGAACACTTTTTGTGTGAGAAATTTCATGCTTTTGTGTTGTTGCTCAGAACAAAAGAAGTCTTCAAGTGACTGTTAAAAGTTCCCATGGCACAGAAATTTCCTATTTCAGGTAAGTAAGAACAGCAAGAGAATATCCATAATTTGCTTCATGTTTCAGGAAATTACAATACATGATAGCTCAAATAAAAAAAAAAAAAAGGTATTTGAAGATCAAGGGTTTTTTTTCCCCCTGTATGACACTATAACAGTCAATCCAATTAAGTTTTCTGCTGCGGTTTTTTTGACTCTTATTACAGTAAAGTGAATGAATTGATTTTTGTGCTGTTCCATTTCGAGAGAAAACCTGTTTTTCTAACATTTTATATTAGTGAGAGCTCGAGAGAGTTGCAGTGGTTCAGTAGCTCTTAATGATATCTATTTGTTTTGCTCTAGTTTTCCAGATCAAGACATTCGCAGAACAGCAGTCCAACAAATACAAAATATGTCAAATGATGAATTGTTAGAATACCTCCCACAGCTGGTTCAGGTAAGGAAGAAGTTTATAGCCAAGGAACTCTTCTGTCCACATCAATAACTTCATTAAATCCTTTGTTTCTTTCAGTTTGATACACTGTAAGAGGAATAAATAAGAAAGTCTGGTCAGCTGATACAATGGTTGAGCTAACAACAGGGCTGAGGTATAGACTGTTTCCCACTCCAGGGAATGTAATTGTTTTGCATGCTGATTGATCTTTTCTGTATACTACAAGAAGGTATTTTCAAGTACCAAAGAAAAATAAAAAAATGCATCTGATCAAGAGACACGAAACCAGGGCCTGGGGGTGGCAGGGCTTCGTTGCAGTCAAGGAAGCAAGTGGTGTTGCAACAAATCACAGTTTTCTTAATGCCATGTATATGGGGAAAATCAGTCAGCACAGAATAACCAGGACAATTTGGGTGTAGAATTGCCTCTTTATAGATGTACATTGCATTTCATTGGAAATTAATGTTTTACAAGTTACAGGTCCACTGCTTCCAAAGATAATCACTTCATAGTTGATTAGGTCGCAGCTAAGGAGGAACCTTTGAAAGCTTTATCCCCTTACTTTGTAACACTGTGCACATGGATTTCTTGCTGTTCCATGTTTCAGAGCTCCTCATGGGTTTTTGTGTGTTTTTTCAATATATACTTATATGACTGCATGCACAAATATACACGTATCTGGATAGATATATATGTATACATGTATGAATATCTTTATGTACTCCACTGTGAAGCAGTGGAACCTGCACAACTTTACAGCATTCACACAGTAGGACACTTATCTGACCTTTCACCTTCCACAGCTTCTGCTTCACAAATAAATTTATTTGGAAACCAGGTAATCAGATAAAAATTTACATAGAGTATTGATAGTTTTAAGCAGGGGAAGAAAAGCTGCATATTTACATAGATGTTAACACAGCCAGAATCAGGATGATACCTGCCTGTTTTACAGATGGTGGCAGACACTTGTGTCCTGAAGGTTTTTTGCTCCTTGCATTGCTAGGGCATTCTCCATATGTTGGATTGCTTCATTCAAACTAAGCACTGGGTCCTTTCTGCTTAATTTTGTTATAAAGGAAAGACAACAAAGTCAGCAAACAAGTGATTCTTATTATTAATTTATTTGTTAAGGTGCTCAAGTTTGAGTGGAGTCTTGAAAGCCCTCTAGTGAAACTCCTGCTGAGTCGTTCTCTTCAGAGCATCCAAGTAGCCCATCAACTTTACTGGTAAGATCATTTACCGTTACTATCATGGTTGTTTTCTGTTACAGTGAACTTTATCCACTATTCTATTGCTGAAAAACTCTCTTTCTGTTTAAAACCAACACAAAACCTAATTTTTTGCTCCTTCTTTATTCCTCTTTCAATACTGGGTATGAAAGATCTACTTATCTCTGCCTTCATCCTGCCCCTGGTGAGAGGGAGGGGGGAAATATCTGTTCACTTAAGTAAGATACCATGTGTATTTTTCTGCAGTTTCTGATTCAAGCAAAAATAATCTTTCTCAAAATTTGCAAGCTCCAAGCAGCATTGGCTTATTTATAAAGGATCCTGCTATTGTGATTTCTCTGACGTCTCCTGAAGTTGTCAGACTCCTCATGTGTGTCAAAGTGTATCTCTTACCGCTTTGTGTATCAGTCTGACTTGTGATGGTAGAGTTTCAGATAGTTCCTTTTCATGATTACGGAGATGTACCAGTCCAGATGGTAACTGCCGTTCACCATCTATCTCTGCAATATAAGGACGTCTATAATTGTATTATTGCATGCAGTGGTTATTCTGTTTGCTGTGCTGTTACTTCAAGGCCCTCTTGAATAGGAATGTGGCTTTCTGCCATCTGAACAACTGCCCTGTAAACTGAAAATTAAACTGTTGTGGGGTTATTATTTTCATGTTTAGTATGATGGATGAACTGAGCTTTCATTTACAGTTCAACAAGTTCAGACCGCTTAAAACAAAAGCTTTCCTCCCTGCCACAGAAAGACAACTTTAAATGTAACCATTTGGTTGATGAAGTTGAGGTTGGAAAGCACATAGATCACACTTTCATAATTTCATGATCTCTGGAAGTGTTAGAGGGGATAAACCAGAATTATGAATGTGTTTGTTTCTCTGAAATGAGTAGGATAACGATAACATGCCTAATGATCATATCTGTCAAATAAAGAGGAACCACACTTAGAGAGCCATTTGTCTGACAATGCCTGAAATATGCCGGAGATAACTTCTACTATCTTATATTATACTTAGTCATTCTGGATATAAAATGTCCAGTCTAGGGTTCCTAAATGTGCCCAGAGAGTTTGTAGTTTTCCTGAGCAATTAGAAATGCTTTCTAGAGTTCAGTGGACAGTGGGAACATGATTGGTTTGCTTGTCTTTTCTTTAACTCCTTTCTTCTTTGAAGAAAAACGGCTAAGTATCTGCGGTCTTCTTCCTCTTTACTTTGCAGTGTAGACCTGTGTAGATCCCTGTTTTTTTTTCCCAAATTTTACTCAAGCTGTCTAATAGTATAATCTTGAGTAATACAGAGCAGATATTTCATCCTGAATATCAGATATCTTTATCTGGCACAGTACAATTTAATGCAGAAAAATATATTTCTATTATATAGAATAACTATACATACCCACATCAAATAGAATATTTGTCAGTGTTCACTTTATTCTCTGCCTTTCAGCTGGTAGTAGCCCTGTTATTCCTGTGTACCTTTTTTATGTAGGCTTTTTGTTTCAGTCTAAACTGAGAACTTAATTATAGCACACATCCCTTAAAATTTTACTTTTTGTATTCATCACACTATACACTTTTTTCCTTTGGTTACTCTGCTTCACCATGTTCTTCAGTAGTAAACTGTTTTCTACCTAGTATTTCAATTTATGCAAGTATTCATTTTCCTGTTCCAGTATTTTAAAAGGCAGTTTCCAAAGTAATAAAACCTATTTACAAAATTTAACACTGATTTCATGGGTTTTATTAATAAAGCCTTAATTAATTAATAAAGACTTTCCATTACTTCACAAATTGAATTTTAGCCCTTAAAAAAGTAATGGAAAACAGAGGTTTCCTTCCACTTATCTCTAAAGAGATTTTAAAAAGAAGCTGAATGATTTAATAATGTGGGGAACACATGTGTGCGTGTACACTCACATAACTTCTTTTAAGAAATGTGATTAGGTAACATTTTATTCTCAAGCGTGGCATTCTGTTTCATTACCAAATTAACAATCAAGAAGCAAGGACTGGTAAAAACAAACTTTAGTAACAAGATTATATTTATTTTTAATTGTAATGGATGACATTGCCATTCTGCTATTAAATAGTAGAACATTGTGCGCAGTGTATCTGCCCAAAATAAAACTTGGAAAAGAAGACTCTAATGTAATTCAGAAAACTGGCGATGTGATTTCAGTCCCACAGGAGAAAAGTCAACTCATTTTAACTTCTATGTTCTACAACACTATTGTAGATCTAGAAACTGGTTGCCAGAAACAGTGGTGACTGTCAACACTAGGTTATTTTAATGACAAACATAATTTATCATAATATCTCAGTTATTTAAAATTGACTCAATTTCCCTAAACACCAGAGATAAGCAGCTGCCCAACAACGATACAGCAGCTCGTCACTTTTTTAATATTTATGTTGGATAGTAAATTGTTTACTCCTTTCTATCAAGCAGTGATAAGTTTGGCTGGAGATTTTGCTTAAAAATTATGGGACAGTAACTGGCAAATGTGGACAGAACAGATAGAATATTCATTCTTGGGACACATCTTAAGCTGTTGTAAATCAGGATAGCTTTGGTGTGTTCTTTCTTTGTATCTGCTGCAGATTCATCCCATTATTTCTCCTATTTAGAGTAAAAAAGGTATTTGATCTTACACCCTGTGTGTGTGGGTTTGTTTGCTTGTTTGTTTCTTACCATATGTGACTTTTCCCCTCTCTAAGTTCTTCAGAAATTTGGGCCATCTGCATCCATCAGTGTTTCATCTCCTCATTGGTACTTTTGAACACACTCCCCTTCTTAAGGAGATAAAAATTACCCGTGCATACGGTGCCAGCATAGGACCTGTGTCCACTTAAATCTAATTTTAGTCAAGAGTTCTTAAAGCCAGTGAAGCATGGGGAACATTTACCCTGCCCCACTATCTTCTAGAAATTCACCCTGATTCTAGTCTTTTCACATCAGAGTTCCTGGGAGGAGAGAAGGATGGAGCAAGTTTTCCTATTCCCTGATGCTATGCTGAGAAGAGAATGTATTAAATTGGTTCTAGCAAAGCGGAAAAGTTGAGGGGAGAGAAACCTGCTGAGCCCCTTTGGGCCCTTCTGCTTGCTGAAAGTCTCTGTTTATCTCCTTGCTACCGTGTTTCACACACAGGGGGGTTTTGTCAGCTTTTGTGCTAGAGTTTTAATCCACCCCTCTGTCTCTGGCAACCTGCCAGTCAGTCTCCCACTTGCTTGAGTGTTTTTGGCTTTTAGCTACTTTCACAGGTGGCAGCCGCAGCGTGCAATCGAAACAGCTGGCTGGGGCAGCAGGTGGCCAGGAGTATGTCTAGCAGATGGTTGCCTTCCGCAGGAGGGTTGAATAATGGGGAGAAGTATAGTTGTCCTCTAGGATCTGTGGCAGCTGCTTGAAGGTGGTGCTAAGAAACAAGTTTCATTGCAGTGGAAGAGTTACAAGTGTTTGTAAATTTTGGGGGAGGATGAGAATCTGGTATGCTTAGTTCAGGAATAGAAAAAGTCAGGTGAAATACTTGCTAAAGACAAAATGTCCTTTTGTAGCTTGTGTTCTAAGTCACTAAACCTTTATAGAACTTTCCTAGTTTACAGCATTTCTTGACTACATTTTGACTGATAACCAAAAGAAAGGGGAGTAGTCTTCTGTCTTTTCCAATCCACATCTTGTAGATAAGGAAGAATGTGAGATTAAAAAGGAACTCTTAGAGAAATCTAGCATGTGGAAGACTATTGATTCCAAGGCTAGAACATAATATTTTATTTTTATTTATTTTTCTATATAAAAAAGAACTGTAAGAAGCAAAAAGAACATAAGCAATATATAAGAGTTTAAAAAGAGCCCAGTTAAATTCTTTACTATTGGGAGGTTTGTCCCTCAATGCTGCATTTTCCAAAATTGTTACCACTTCGTTTCATTCGGCACTCCAGCATTGGAACAATAGGTGATTGCTTCATATTTTCTGAAAGGAAATATATTTTACACTGTCAAACCTAATCTACCTTTTTTTTTTTACTTGAAGACTTCAAAAGAAGCAATAAATCAAGCAGATATTCATCTATCCAACACTCTTAATTATCTGAACATTAAACAGGCAGCCATCCTCCAGCTCTTTCTCTTCCCACATTATGGTGTCTTTCTCCCACAGTCAGAAGTTATCAAGTCTCCTGATTATTAGTGAACTTCCTAAATAGCTGTGTAGAGCAGGGTGAATCGTCCAACCCATTAAAATGACATTAATGTAAATACGAATGACACCTATTTCATTTTGTGTTAATTTGGTCCTTCTTACTGATAAGAATCAAAAGATCACTTTATCATATATGTGACTAAACCTGTGAATAGCCAGTCCCGGTATATGTTTGATCTGTTATTTTGCTACTCTGCATTAGGATTTGAGTTGAAGTCTGGAGTTGCTCAATCGTACAAGCCTTCTGAGGGTAACATGTCATTCAGCCAAGTAACGATTGTAAATTTAATCTGAATTCAGAGTACTTGATGTGATCATCAATGTGTTTTGGACTGCAGAGAACCTCAACCATGTAGAGATTTTAGTTCTGAAATCATAATTGTTACTTATGAAACGCCAATAATTTGGAGACCTTTTTTTCTCTAGTTACTTATGTGTATAGTAAATAACACCATTAGAACATTGTTTTTGTGAGATAATGATTCAACTGTCTACAGTGCTAATGCTTCATTGTTTGTCGTGTGGGACTTGGATTATTGCCTTGGAAAACAGATAATTATTTTGTTTCCTAATTTACAGACTTTCAATTTTCTCAGACTCCAGTTTTAGAAAAAGATGGTGTCAAATGGAGCAGAGATTTTGTTCGAAGAAGTGCAAGGAATAACATAACTCTTTGTTGGTTTTTATCTTCAGTGTTTACACACTGAGAGGGCAAATGGTACATTTAAATCAATAAAACCACATCTTACATTTAATTCAACACATTTTAGAATTTAAGAAAAAAACTAGACTCGCTTTT